ATGTTATCCCACTGCTTGCTCATAATTTATAAAATTCTGCTGAGACTAGAGCAGGAAGACTTGCACCCAACTCGTATTCCTGTGTCTTCCTCATGCCCACTCCCCTTCCCCTACTTCTAGGAATTTCTGCTTGCGGGCTGCCACTCCCACCTTAAGATTCTGCTAGTTCAGCCCTCCAACAGCTCGTGAACGGCCGTCCCCAACACTGTAGACTTATTTTGATTTTTAAAAACCAAAAGTCTAATGTTTAAAAGTAGAGCTTTTACTAAGAAAACATGAATTAAATTTTTTTCTTTTGAAATTATCTTTTCCCTAAATCACAAAATATGTGGCCAAATTATATACCATCTGTAAATCTGAGGAAAAAGGTAAATCAATATTTTAACAAAAGCATGTCACACAAAACTATATATAGGAATAGAGTAAATTTCTCAGAAAACAAAATTTAGAATGATCTTTCCAATTAGGAAAGTTACCTGTGGCCCTCCCTGGTGGCGCAGCGGGTTAAAGCACAGCACTGAGAATCTAAAGCCGCTTCCGCATGAGTTCGATTCCCGCCTGCCCCGGAGGTGACCACATGGCGTGGCAGACCTCTCCTGGCCCACCCGCTGCTCCCCTCAGCAGTGTACTTCCTCGATCTACCTGTTCTGTTCCCCATTCTGTCTCTGGTGAAGCCTCTCACCGCCCCGGAGCCCCTGGTCTGTACCCCAGTTCTGTATGCACAAATAAATAAATCTTTAAAAAAAAAGAAAAGAAAAGAAAAGTTACCTGCCCTTTATGTATCTCCAAAAAAGAACTAAAGATACTTAACTGTAAACTATACTTTACTTATTTTTTTTTGGCCACAAGCAACTTCATATTTGTAGGGAGAGAAAATGAATGCCTGAAATGAGACAGGATACAAATTAGTATTCACCATTGTTAACATGTAGAGAAAGCACTCAATAACTATTAGATGAATGAATGAGTTTTAGTGAAAAAATATATTATGATCATATTGTGTTACTGTTATTTTGTGTTAAATATTAGTAATGTAAGCTTCTTGTTTTCAAAATTAATGAATCATATTGATTAACAAAAGACAGATACATTCTACCTAAGACCATAAATTTATACATGGATACTATGTTTTCTCAAGTTTCTTTCCAAAAGATTTTATACTATGTTACACTAATTTGGGTTTTGTTTGATAGTGTGCAGTTGTGTATATTTATTGACCTTTTCTGGAAAATAAGCTATTTATAATTTTGTTTTTCTTTTCAGAATATAAAAATTTGGTGAATGACTTTTAAAAACATTTTGAAAGTTTTGTTGATAACTTTCTGTAGAAAACAAATGTGAATGATTGATTTTTATGCCATTTTTAGAAAAGTTCTTAAAAATAACATCTTTTCCCAGTTTTTAGGGAAAAAAAGGGGATTAAAATAAGGAAATGAATCTGGGTTAAGTCCTGTGGAATTCCCAGCTGATAAGTGTATATTTCCCTGTCATACACACACATGTATGCATACATATATTCACAAACATACACTAATGTGTATATACACATACATATGTATATACATATACATGTGCATATATGTATTTATTACTATTTTCTATTATTAAAAAAATATTGACAGGTATTTTTCAGGACATCATTCATTTTGCCTGAAATATTTTTTCCTACATTTTAGCTCTTAGTATTGAGATGATGCTGTTATAGGGCAGCTGGTCCCTTCGTGGTCGCCAAATCTGTTATAGGGCACCTCAATTCAGAGAGAGGCATCCCTGAAGCCCCAAAACCTGCCTGCTCTAAGTGGGTTCTGCCATCCGCCGCAACAAGACAAAACATATAAAGCTTTAATGAAAAGTGACTTTAATACAGTGAATATACAATATGAAACACAAAGAATGTAACTTCTAAATCAAACACCTGAAGTTACCCATCCCCTCGTGGGCAAAAGTCAATCCAAAAGGGATTGGCCCAAAGCAAGGCCTGAAAGCCTGCCACAAGACTAAAGCACCTTCTGGCCGGGACCCATGGAAAAGGGTCAGAAATGGCCAGACAAATCTGAGAGGAAAAGAGCAAAATCAAAATCAATATAAACACTGCCATAGTCACCTCCCTACAGGTATCTCACCCACATCTGCCTTAACCAGTCCAGGGTCAGGAAACAAGCCCGGTTTCTTCATCACATGTTTGCTGCTCCATGTGGCTTCCTTAGGTCTCCTTCTCCATCTGCCTCCTGCCTTCTGCCTCTCTTCTTCTCTCTCCTTTTTCTCTGCTCAGTTCCACCCTCCTTCTGGGTGGGGCAGGGAACCTGGAACTTCCCTTCTCCTAGGGACCACCCAGTTACAATGCTAAATTACTAATTTAGAACCATGTTATTTTAACTTTGTTTTTGTGTTGAATAACAAGGTTGACTTTAAGTGACATGGTTTTTGTTACCTGTGTTGACCTCATGCCAGATGTAGATTCTTTTCCTACTTTAGCTTCATGATCTCATTTTCTGATTTAACTGTGTTGGTAGTAGTTATGTATTTTTTGTGTATCTTAATTAACTTGACTGTTGGGCAGCAAGGACCCACACCTCCTTTGCCATTGTTCTCTGTCCAATATGAATTCTCAAATTGCCCACATAGATTTTCTTTTATATTGGTAGTTTTTTTCTTTTTACACAATAATTCTCAAAGGTGTTTAATGATTTGTAGGACATTTCATATATAATTTGTAAATTTTTTCCTGAATGTTGTTCTTCTAGATGCTGTAGAAAAAAAAGTACCTGGGTGTTAAATGTCTGAAGACAGTGTACACATTTTCTTTCCAAAAACTTTATATTCTGTCAAAATAATAATATACATGATGATTTGGGAAATAACTGTCAATATTTTTTAAACCATAGAAAGTAGACATGTATATCTGATAAGGGAATACACACTTATCAGCTAGGAATTCCATAGGCCTTAGACATGTTTCCTTATTTGAGTCCCCTTGTTTATTCTTAAGAACTGAAAAAAAATTTACTTTTGAGAACTTTTCCAAAATGGCAGAAGAATCAGTGATTACCCTTTTTTCCCCAGAAATTTATCAACCAAACTTCCAGGATGTTTTAAAAAGAAAAGTTATTTGCCACATTTTTATATTTCAGGAAGAAAAATGTAATTATAATGTATTCAATTATAATGTATACACAATAAATTATTGTATATATTTTCTATTAAAGATAATTCATTATTCCAAGTGAAAAAAAATTGTCAAAATATGTAGTGTAGCATTTGTGTGAGACTTCCTGCTTTTACAATTGGTCATGTAATAGTTTAGTTAAAGGATAGGTGATTATAATTGCAAATGAGCATTGTCTTTAAAAAGTTACACATTTTTGCTTTCATTGTCATTTTGGTAGAAATTAAGAGATCAATAAGCAGTATATTCAGTTGATAGTCACTGACTTAGTTTCCTGTTGTTGCGCTAACAGATTAGTACACATTTGGAGACTTGAAACAACACAGATTATCATTTTACAGTCCATTCACAAGGTATCAGCAGATTGCATTCCTTCTAGAGGTTCTAGGGAAGAATCCATCTTTGTCTTTTTCTGCTTGTAGCGGTCATCTGCATCCCTTGGCGGTGTCTTCCATTGAAGTGATAGCTACACTTAATATCTTTTTCTTTTGTTACCATCCTTTTTTTGGGAAGGATCCCTGTGATTATGTTAAATTTATCCAGGTAATCCAGAATATTTTCACCATCTCAGGGTCCTAAACTTCATTACATCAGCAAAATACTGTTTGCCATGCAAGGTAATGTTTATCAGGCAATACATAATTTAATGGAATATAATATTACTGACATCTGGTCTAAGACATCTTTTTTTTTTTTTAAAGATTTATTTATTTATTCATACAGAACTGGGGTACAGGCCAGAGATGCGGAGGGTGAGAGGATTCACCAGAGACAGAGCAGGAGCAGAACAGGCAGATCGACGAAGTACACTGCTGAGGGGAGCAGTGGGCGGGTCAGGAGAGGTCTGCCTCGCCATGTGGTCGCCTCCGGGGCAGGCGGGAATCGAACTCATGCTGAAGTGGCTTTAGTTTCTTAGTGCAGTGCTTTAACCCGCTGCGCCACCAGGGAGGGCCCCAAGACATCTTTTTTTTTAATCTAAAATTTAACTATGCATATTTAACCAAAATAAAATAAGTATAAACCAAAAAGAAAAAAATCAGGGAGGAGAGGTCGGGAAATAGAACTGACTATCAGAAAAATGTTGTAAAGTTCAGAGTAAGTAGGTTACATGATACTAAGAATAAAATGGTAAGTCAGTATTATCATTTGACATCTAACAATCTTTCTTAGGGATTTTTTAAAGGGACAACAACTGTTAAAAATCACACAAGGAATATTACTATAGAATATGGTTACTAGCTGTTCTGTCTTAACTAGGTTTATTTATTTTTGCTACTATGGTAACAGATGGCTGAAGTCAGAAACTCTTAACCCCTGGAGAGGTGTGCTGGTGAGGATAGATAGCCTGAGGGGAAATGCTGAAAAATATCACATTTTGGGGGTGGAATGACTGGTAAGAAATATAAGGGATGGCAGAAGGGATGTGTCGAGCTATTCAGTCTTTGGAATTCAGCATTTTTGGATCTTCAGCATTTGGGGGTCAGCAAATTTCAGCCCCCATCACAGGATCTTCCAGAAAGCTGTTGTGGGCTTCTGAAGGTGGAGGCTTCCAGCAGCCAACCTCAGAGAGGAAAATTTTGGAGGCTTTGCAAGTAGCTGAGCCCCTCAAACTGGTTTTGCTGCTGTTATAGCCTGGCAGAGAAGGTGAAGATCCAGAGCAGGTGCTTTGCTGAGCTGTGTGAGTATAACTATTTGTCAGGTTGTTTTCTGCTGCAGCTTCAGTCTTGAACATTGCTTCTCGGGTGCTGTGCTGGGGCATCTTGAAGCTATGAGAGAATCTCCTATTGTGTCTTCTGTTGTCTTCAGGATTTGGAACATGCTCTAGAGTCTGGCTGCTGTGTCCTCCAGATAAGCAGAGGCAGGAAGATGCCACCTTGGTCATGTGCTTGCCCAAGGTAAGATCCATCTAGAAGGTGTGAACTTATTCTTTTGTGTCATCTAAAGTGCTGTAAACTAATGTTATCGCAATAAAGGGAAAAAAGTAACTTTTCTTGAACAAATGCTAGTAGTTAATCTATAGATATAATTGATGCCTTTACACTAACTGCTGTGATGGTTAGTGCAAGCATATGACCTATATTTAGCAGTATTATTATCTGTTTTCCCCAAACAATTGCTTCATTTCTCCACCCTTCAACTCCCAGTTTTTTCTTGCTTATGTTCCTCTCTTCTCACTATACTATATGCATCTTTATGTCTTGCCTGAAATAATTTTGCAATTATGTCATGTATGTATAAATAAGAAAACATTTCCAGTTAGTACTTCAGAGAGCTGTTTTCTGAGGAAGCATAAAAAAGCCTTCATGGCCCTCCCTGGTGGCGCAGCGGGTTAAAGCACAGCACTGAGAATCTAAGACGGCTTCCGCATGAGTTCTACTCCCGCCTGCCCCGGAGATGACCACATGGCGCGGCAGACCTCTCCTGACCCGCCCGCTGCTCCCCTCAGCAGTGTACTTCGTCGATCTGCCTGTTCTGCTCCCCACTCTGTCTCTGGTGAAGCCTCTCACCCTCCACATCTCTGGCCTGTACCCCAGTTCTGTGTGCATAAATAAATAAATCTTTAAAAAAAAAAAAGCCTTCATGTGCTATCTTAACTTTCTTAGAATGCATCAGAATATATTGAGTTCGAGTTTTGTTCAAAGAAGACTTAAACGTCTGTTAGCGTTCACCTCAGTTCCTCTTACTGTTTTATTGTCAATAATAATGGAAATATCAGATGACTATTTTACATATGGGTTCTACTTTATATTTCAAACAAAGAGAAGAAGATCTACAGGATTATTGAAGTCAAATGTTTTATTTAACTAAAAATATCCAGATTCACTCTACCTTAATGAAAGCATCCAAATGAAGAAATATAAGAAAGCACCCAAATATGTCTTCTAAAAAAGAGTTCCCTGAATATGAAAATAAAACTGACTAGAAAGGTGGTTCTCATGGTAGCTAGCAGGTCTTTTCAATTTATTTTTATTACAGTAAAAATAAATACTATAATACTTGTATACAATTTTTCTGTTCATGCTTTTCCTCTGTGGTGCCAAAGGGTCTAAGACTACCATGAGGAAGGAAGCATATTATTTCCCTTACCCTCCTCCCAGTTTTCTGTTTAAATTCTGCTGCTGCCAAGTTTGAGTGGAAAATCTTTCTATTGCCAGTTGGTGACTTACATGACTCTTGGCCAAGAAAGCTATTTAAGCAACTTTGAAATATGCTTAGATTTTTCAGAGCTGTGTGTGGTGTAATACCAGTACTCCTGGAAAACACTGGGAGATTTGCCATCCTCCCTGACATGTCTCAAATATGACATAAGTCCCATGTCATGGGTACCCAGCAAAACAGAAGAGCTTGGAGGAGTCTTAGCGCCACCTTGCAAGCTGTTGCTGCAAATCTGAATGTACTATTATTACTATTATTAGCATACATTAATTGAACACTAACACCAGTACTAGGAATTATGCTAAAATTTTGTGTCATTTTTCTACAGCAGTCTGATGGAGTTACTGTTTTAACTCCAGTAGATGAAGAAGTTATGGCTTAAGAAGTTTAGTCATTTGCCTAAGATCATACAATTTGTCAGAATCAAAACTTTTATTTTAAAGCCCACAGTGTTGACCTTCTGAGACCTCTATATACAAGTTTTCATGTATGTAGGGAACCTCTAAATACAAGTTTGCATGCATTTAGGGATAGTGTTGCTAAGATCTAGCTCATTTAAAAAATCTGTGTGTTTTTTGATGTAACACTAACATGTAGTATTTACATATTTAAGTATAAAGGAACCCCTTCATTTAATATTATTTTTCATCTGCTATCAAGTGGAAATGCCTTTGTTTATAGAAAAGAAATATAATTTTAATATCATGTTGACATTTATGTGAACTGATGGAGGCATTGTTTTGGGGAAAAAGAATCAATCATTTTGATGGGAAGTGGCATGTCAGGCAGATGTAATGATGTTAGGGATGAGGACATGGTTCTCATGCTTTGGTTCAACTTTGACTCATATTATGACTTTGTAGAACTACTCAATATTTTAATATTTTTTGGTGATTTATTTTATTTATTTATGCATACACAACTGGGGTACAGGCCAGAGGTGCAGGGGCAGTGAGAGGATTCACCAGAGACAGAATGGGGAGCATAACAGGCAGATCATTAAAGTACACTGCTGAGGGGGAGCAGTTGGCAAACAGGAGAGGTCTGCTGCGTCATGTTGGTCATCTCCTTGGCCTGGATCAAACTTGCCCTGAAATGGCTGGCTGGCTTCGCAGTACTATGCTTTAACCCACTGTGCCACCAAGGAGGTCTCTTTAATAGTTTTGATAACATTTTCTTGAGTGAGGATAAACATAAACATAAAATTATCATTAAATATAGAAGATTTGAATTGTCTTTCTAAGGGAGGTTGGCCAACAACTAAATTTTAGGCTCAAAGTAATATCAAAATATGTTGTCCAAGCTTGACTTGTCCATGTACAGGGGAATAAATCATTCCTTCTTAAAAGAGTGAGAGAAAACCAGGCTTTCCTCAAATTCTCAGCCTATGCTAAGGCCTCTACATACTTTCATGCCCCATTTGATGCTCATTTTAACTTGTGGTCCCAACTTGGGTTTGGTCTGCATTTTGGCCTCCTTTTCAGTCCACTTAGACAACTGGGGTGTATTCTTAGACTGTGTTTGCCACATTCCTCACCCTTCCTTGCTCCCGACTCTAATTCTGGGTATTGACTCCCTTTGATGGGCTTAACTGTGTGTGCAATTGATTGTCCATCATTTAAGCTCTTACTGCATTGAGATACTCTTAACTCTAAGTTAAATACTTATCTGAAGTCAAGTGTTAAGTGGCTAAAATCTGGTTTCAGAGGAAAATATTTTAAAATATTTAACATTCAGCTATATCTATCCATAGCCATGGAGTGGTACATATTTACACTTTGGGCACAGAATGATGGTGAAAATTAAATGAAGACAAGATTTGATACCTAACTCCATGACTCCTGCTTTCCCACAAAATCACAGTGCTTTTTCAAAGAAAGTATATTTCCCCTAGGAGAGTAACAGAAACTTCTAATGAGGATTACTGTATTTCCTTTCTCATTGGTAAACAAGATGTTAATCTCAGTGCTCTGGTTAAAATATTGCACATTTATTCCCTCAATTAAGACCTTCTTTATAACCTTTTTCTGAGGTTGTCACAAGGTAGCCCTGCAACTCTAACAATTGACCTTTTTATTTTTATAACATTTCACTACTCTGTTTGATAAGCAATTTACAATATAAGTACATATTTCATAATTCAAGATGATGGCAACAGAAAGTCTTATGAATGAATTTTCATGTTTAATAAAAAAAAACTGTGACTTTCATCTAATATTTGTGGTCCTTTTCTAATTATCTGTAATATTTTCAGTGAAATTATTTTAGCCAAAGCATCCTAGTTATGAAATAAATGGAGAAAAAAAGACACAGATGTGTCTTAGAGTAAGATAAATGATTGTAGATCATATGGCACCCTGAATAAAAACTGATAAATAACCCTCTAAAAGTGTAGTATTATTTATCACCTATGCCATTTATGTTAAATTTGGAAGGTGTTCTTTTCTTTAAACAGGTTGTAATATCAAAATTGATGCACAGAAAATTTCTCTGCTCCTTTTTAAATTTTTTACGACTGGAATTTCATGAATAAGTGTTAGCATCTTCCTTCTTACTTTTCATAAATGCATTCATTAAGCAAGAATTTGTAATACTAGGACACATTTTCTAAACAAATCTTAGTTTTGTTTAGGTCATTTATCTAAAGTGTCTGTAAAATATAAACCTCTTGATATTTATTCACTTCTGAATTGCAGCATCTCTTTTTATCCTATTATGGATCGTAAACCATTTGATCTTCTCTATTCCTGTGTCAATGCATTTTCTCTCTCTTTTTTCTTAAAAGTGGACTTCTAAATGGTACTGAACCAAATGAAAAAAAAAAAAAAGATCTTATTTTACACAAAGTAATTCTTTTAGTTGCTGATATTTCATGCTGTTTTTGCACATTTTATTTATTACAATAGCCAAATTCTTGCTTTGATACTGTAATTCTTCATCCATTTTTTCCCCCAAATTTAGCTAGTATTTATTGGTCACATGGCAACTCATTTGTTTGTTTCACAGTGTTATTATAATCTTTTGTTAATGGGGTAGTAGCATGTTTGAAAATTCTTTTCCCCCAAATATTTACAGTTTCTGTGATCTTAAATCATTTCTGGTTTCAAATAGGACAGCACTACAATGGGAAATTTAGGAGACGGTTGAGAATTTTATTCTTCACATTGCTTCATATTCCTCCAATTTCTATACCTTTTAAGAAATGCTGGCTGTCTCTACACTAATGGAAATGAAATATGGTTGTCAACTCACTGGAGAATCTAGTATTACCTGTGTGTGCAAATTGGATTAACTACAATACTATTAGACTCGTTTTCTAATTTATTTTCTTTACATATTTAATTAAAGTGGAAAAAATACCATATAGAGATCTTTAGGAATATAGATGCCTGTATTAGGAATTGCTTGATACTTCCTTAGAAAAAACAAAATATTTAGAAAAGGTAATGTGATTTTATAATTGGAAAATACTTCTTCTTACCTATTTCACAGTATTCTAAGATGTTTAAAGCAATGCAGACAGGAAGTTGAGTGTATTTATTATTATTATTTTAAAAATAAACTTGCATATATACTTCCAGATCCTTTAAAAGGGAAATTTTCCTAAAAAAGAATGTCAAGAATAGATAAGAAAAGGGCATTCTTTTCTGGATGACAATATCATCATATCATCAACAGAATGTTAATTTTTAAAGTAACTAATTCTGTTATTACACTTCTCAGAGCAAAATTATGAATG